CACATGTATCTCAGTTTTCTTCTGTGAAATGTTGGAGCATAATCCTAAATCCAGATGGCTGACTCTAGCTACTTTCATGCTAAAGGTTTTAATGGTCTGGATCACAAGCTAAAGAGTTTCCTGGGAAAATATTAAGACTTCTGAAGTCCTATTCACTAGTAGCACATTTCTCTAATGTGTTTGTCATCAGTCTTGCCCTTAAGCCAAAGCCAAAGCCAAAGAGGTGGGCTTCATTCCTTATGTCAAATTGGATTTGAGGACATTCCTTTTGGCCATCTTAGTTTTGACACTGCACTGACTTACAGGCAATGGATGCCTTCAGAGTTCAGTATGACATCAGTATGGTCCCCTTCTCAGCAGAAATGTTTCATCCTTCACATTGTGCTTGTGATGTATTATTTGCTATACATATGTCTGATATTTCCTCTAGGAAGCTCAAGATGGCATATATTTTCTTCACAACCACTCTGGGACTGGCTCAAAATCTCCCAGTGACTTTTGTGGCTCAATGGGGACTTGAAATATGGATCACTGAAATCCTAGTCCAACCCTCTGATCACTACACTACAGTGCTCTTGTAAGGCACTAAGAAGCCTAAGCCAGTAGCATAGCAACAGAATTCACAAAGAGAAAGCCTGGTTGCTCTAGCATACAATCCTATCTGTGATCGGAAATGAAAGACAGCTCTGGACAGCCAGCCAAAATAAATCAGGTGATCTAAACACTGATCTTGTTGAATGTACATGACAACCTGCTTAGACCTTGTGTCACAGTACAGGAACTTATCCATGGGACAAAGCACTTACAAAACTAAATGGTTCATCTTGTTTTCAGAATAGTACTACCACTTAATCTCTGGCTGAATTTGCACTGCATAAATAATGCAGTTTGACACCGCTTTAACTCCATCCTATGGAATCCTGGGATTTGTAGTTTGTGGTGGCACCAGAGCTTTCTGACAGAGAAAGGCTAACTCTCTCAACACTACAAATCCCAGAATTCCATAGCATTGAGCCATGGTAGTTAAAGTCAAACTGCACT